AGCGCAGCAGGGGCGAGGGCGAGGCGGGGCCGCTTGTTCCGCGACAGGCCCGGCGAGCAGTGGCTGGGCGCGGAGGCCAGACAAGGCAGAGCAGGTTCGCGCATCCGGCCATCTGGAAACCAAGCCTGGGAGCTGGACGGAAGGCACACGGGTCCCTGCCCCTTTCGACCCCCACCATTCCCCCAAGGGCTCTCGGTGCAAGGGCTGGGGCAGAAGCCCAGGGAACAGCACAGTCCCCAGCAGCCAGCCTCCCCTTCCCAGCTGACTCGTGCCCTGGGACAGCGCTCCCACTCGCCTGCCCCCACCAGCCAGGCCTCTCCCTCCCCGGCCTCCACCTGGGCTCTTCTCAGCGGTCCGGTCCCACCTCGCATTCGGGTTTGACCTTCCTGGTTTCCAGCCCCCGATGTCTGGTCTGCGGGCAGGCAGCTGCTCTCCCGTGGATCCCCACGCTGAGTGCCACCAGGGCTGTCCTGTGCCAGCCCAGGCTCTCCCGTCCCTCCCCCCGCCCCCCGCCCCCCCCCCCGCCCCCCCCCCCCCCGCCACATCGCCTCCTTCCACTCTGCCATCCCACTGCCCCAGTGCCAGCCAAAGCCTCCGCCCCCCGCCCCCGGCCCAGTTCTTCGGACAGACAAAGCACACCGTCCCTGCCTTTCTTATGGAAACGCGCTCTGCAGTATGGCGTTATATTCCGCACGCCGAGGCAGGCGGCCGACCAGCCGAGAGCCTGGAAGCCGCTGAGTGTGCATTTCCTATTTGGGTGCGAGAGTCATTCCTCTGTTTGAAGTTAGACATATGGAGTAGAAACCTGCTGCTTAACCTAGCTCTTCTCGTGCAGCCAGCAGTGGTACTTAAGGAACTCAATGGCCTGATGCTCAAGACAAGGATCTGTGAAGAGTCTTGTTCTTCCGGTAAGCCTGGACTGTAGCTCGGCCTCCAAAGACATGTGACCGGCCTCCTGGTGCTGGAATCCCTCTTGAATTAGGTGGTTTTCCATGGGGGAGGGACGGGAAGGGACAAAGACGTCCCGCTCTGGGGAAATTCGATTTAAGGAATGGGAAGCAATGAGGGCTTTAGGCGGCTTCACAGACTGCCCCCCACCCTGTGGGGGTACATGGAGACCCCTGGAAACAAGGACTCTCACGAGAGGGGTGGAGATGAGCTACTGAACCAGGGCAGAAAACAGCTCTGGCCTGAAGACTTCACCTGAAACGTGCACTAGGGCGAGAAATGACGATTGTAACAACCCCTCTCAGGGTATGGTAGGGGGGAGGGGTCATTCTAGTTCAGTAACGGACTTGGATTTCTCTCGTCACTTGCACCCATATAAAACCCACGTCTTCGACTTCACAAGAACACTTCTTATCAAGCCCGCGTAGAGCGGTGACCTGGGGGACAGTGGCTGGGCATCTCTTTCCTTGGCAGAGGGAGCAAACTTTATGAGCTTCCTCTGTGTAGAATGTTTGCAGAGTCAGATGATTTCTTTGGGGGCTGAGCTCCTGGATGCTGGCAAGTCCCTGACTCCTCCCGGAGCCGAGCTCGTCCAGCATCTCTGGGGAGCCCAGAGCTCCTGGCCCAGCATGCCGGGGTGGAAGGGCGCCCCAGAGGGCGGGGAGGTGGGCTCAGTGGTATGATCAGCCCATCAGGTGACAGTCTCAATGGGATCTCTGAGACAAAACCCATCGCAAGACCCTCCCCTTCCCCCAGCTCTCCCCACCTTCGCGCTGGCTGTGGACACCGCTTCCCCAGATTCTCATCTGCTCTCGCTCTCTAACCCGACCCCATCCCATCTCCAGCCAAGCTTACCGCTCGGACCTGCCTGGCCGCTCCCAACGCGAGCACGCGCAGCCTCTTACCAGCTCAAACCTCCCCCGGCCCCATGTCGCTGGACTCCAGCTAGCACCTCAGCTCTCCGCTCTCAGCGCACGCAGCCTGCTGTCTACAGCCCCGCCTGCAGTTCCTCTCCTCCAAGTCCACCTGAGGCCTCCCCAGCACAGCGTCTGCCCCGTGTGCCTCCTGGCCTCGGCTCAGCGCCATACTCCATCCTCATCTTCCCTGTCAGCTGCCCCTCGTGACCTCGGCCTCCATGCCTCCCGTCTTTCCACTCCAGCACGTTCTTCAGAGAATTCGCTCAGCCTGCCTCTGGCTTTCGGCTTCACAAGGCCCTGAGGCCCCTTCTCTTCTCCCTGGGCAAACTAC